CTTTTGTCTTCTCACATCAGTTGACTCTTAATATCAATAACTTGTAAGGTGTTTTGTTTTTGGTTTTCTTTGTTACCTGTGTTGCGCTTTCTCTACTTGATCTGTGCCATTCTTGAACTCATAACATCTTTTTACTAATGGACAACTACACGGCAATGTATGACATCTTTTTTATCTATTTTTTATTACACCACACACATTGTTATAATGAGCAGATATGTGTAACAGAACCTATTGCCTGTGATTTGATTGTCAATATTCGCGTTTTGCGACATAATTTTTATTCTATGTTATTTACTATTTATTATTTGTATTTTTTCTATTGTATTTTGCGCTTAAAATTTATATTACGACTGAAGAAGTCCCAAGTCAGGAACAAAACGTTTCGTTGCTTTCATATGTAATTAAATTATTCTTGATATATACTTTTCATCCTGAATTTTTGCTCGATTTGACCGTTTATTTATCTTTCTTGTTTGTTGTTGTAAGTATTCTTAATATATCGCAATTTACAGATATATATACATATCTTAGTATTATTCTCCTGTCGCCCAAAAACTAGTTATAAGTCCGCAACGCCGAAAGTGCTACACTGAGTGCACTATCTCCGAATCATGTAAACGCGCCCTACGTCTAGGAAAATCAAACGCCGCGACCGCAAATAGTACCGCGCCGGCGCAGAATTCCAGTCGCGGGCCTGCGCGCACCGCACGCGGCGCCCCGGACCAAGCTCGGGCCGCCGCCGCGTATATAAGGCGAGCGAAACCGGTTCCAAGCACCATTCCTTTCCCGTTTTGCTCTCCGAGGTGTTGACTCGGAAGCAACTGCTAGGTCTCCGAGATGATTGACTCGGAACCGACAAACCCTTCCGAGGTGCTGATTCGGAAAATACCTGCTCCGATCTCCGAGGTGTTGACTCGGAATCACCGATCCTTTTTTCCGAGGTGTTGACTCGGGAGGACATTTGCGCTCCAGAACCGTGCGCTCGAGGAGCTGACTCGAGCCGCCGACGACTCCCCCGAAATGTTGACTTAGGTAGCCCGATCCTTCTTCCCGAAGTGTTGACTCGAGTAGCCGATCCAGCCTCTCCGAGGTGCTGACTCGGAAGAATCTCGTACTAACCGTGCCCGAGGCATTAGCCCAAGTATACCAACCGTCCCATCGGCCGTTCTCACGGCCTGGCGGTTTTTACGGCTTTCCGGAACAGCAGTTCTCACGGCTCACCTGGATCTCTCTCGCTACTAGGCAGCAAACCCGCCACCGTAGACCGCAAGCACCACGTCGTGCCGCGACCTTCCGCGTCCGCGCACTGCGCCACCGACGCCGATACGCGCATTCGCGTTCACGTAACCAGAAATCCCTCGTTGTATATATTCGCGGCCCTCCCTTCTCAGTACGTAAGATTCCGATCCGTTACCACGTCGGTCGAGACCGACCCGCGACAGCTTGCGCGCGCCAATCACAGCCGCAAACCGCTAGTCTGTAAGGGCTTTGTGCCCCGCGTCTTTATGACATTGTATATAGTCAAAAGCATTTCAGAATATAGAATCATTGCATTACAGAAGTAACCGAACGTGTCGCAATCTCTTCCTTCCCCTCACCCGAATCCTGGCCTGACCGAGCTGTCCGGCAGGCGGAAGGCCGGGCAAGCCACGCGTTACACGGCGGCTCTGTTACAACGCTGACAAAGATTCTAGAGAAATTTTTAACGAAACAAAACAATGGAAATTTGAAGAATCATAATTTAAAAATCTTTCAGAGAAGTTTGTATTAGAGAAATTCTCAGGAAGGAATTACAATGTATCTGAATGGATAGAAATTTTTGAACGCGAATGTAAAAGGCTAGATATTGAAAAAGATATAGATAAAATTAAGATATTTTGATTATTTTTAGAAGACGCTTGTATAGAATGGTATAGCGCGACGCTTGTAAGTCTAACATTAGAGTCAGAGTGGTCTCAATGGAAATAAAATTTTGTAAAATCTACGCGGACAAAAGGTGGCATCCCGTTACTCATGCGATGATGACATTTAAGTATTTATCGGGTTCATTGTTGGATTATGCGGTGCGAAAACAGAGTCTTTTTTTGAAAATCGAGAACAAGATGACAAAAATAACCTTGAGTAATTTGATTGCAGTAGGGTTACCAAATTTCGTAAAAAATAGAATAGATAAAGAAAACATAAAAACGGTTGAAAATTTACTTAATGAGATTAGAGGCTTAGAATACCTAGTTAAACTGTAAAAAAATTGCAAATAATCAAGAAAAAAATGTTAAAGATAAAATTAATAAGCACAAACCATGTACAATTTGCAAAAAGAAAAACAAAAATAATCGCTTTCACCCAGAATCTCAATGCTGGTATAAAGACAAAGATAATGATAAGAAAAAGAATGAACTTATTAAGGATGTGAACAAGTCTGAATTAGAAATAGATTTATTACCATTGATCAAAGTCAAAATATTGTTAAACGGCACTCTTGAAGTTCGAGGTACTTATGATTCGGGCTCAAACGTCTCCTTGATAAACTCAGATTTATTACGCATACAAAATGGAAAATCTAGTAATCTAAATGGCGCAAATTTAGCTACGATTAATGGTGTGAGAAAAATAGATGGTACAATCTCCTTAAAAATTAAAATTTTTGAAATTGAAAAACAAGGTAACATATTTGTACTAGATAAAAACATTTCACTTGCGACTTTTTGATTGGCTTAGATTGTATAAGAAAGTTCAAGTTGATACAAAATGAAAATCTACAAATAATTCAGAATGGATTTAGAGAGGAACTGAAAAGTAAAACAAATCTGGAAGATTCCCAAAACACTTTAGAAAAAGAAGAACTACTATAAAAATAGTGAACAATACCAAATAAATTATAATAAGCATATAGATATAAGTAAAATTCAAATAGTAATGAATCATTTGGAGGTCAAAAAACAGGCTGATATTAATGTAACGGAGCCGCCGTGTTATGCGCGGCTCGCCCGGCCTTCCGCCTGCCGGACAGCTCGGTCAGACCAGGATTCGGGTGAGGAGAAGGAAGAGATTGCGACACGTTTGTGGTTATTGCTGTAATACAATGATTCTATATTCTTGAACTTATTTTGACTATTTATAATGTCGAACGACGCGGGGCTCAAAGCCCTTACAGACTGACGGTTCGCGGCTTGTGATTGGCGCGCGCGAGCTATTGTGAGTCGGTCATGGCCGACGCGATGACGGAACGGAATCTTAGGGCGATGTCCCATTGAGCGGAATTCTATAGCGGAACAGAATGTGCGGAACCAGCTCGACCAATCGTAACCATAGAAAAAGCGAAGGAAAGAAAACGGAATGGCTATGATTGGTCGAGCTGGTTCCGCACATTCCGTTCCGCTATATATTTCCGCTCAATGGGACATCGTCCTTACGTACTAAGCAGGGAGGGCCGCGAATCAAGAGGCACGGTAGTGCTTCGCGCCAAGTTCACGCGCAACGAAGTGGCGCTCGAACTGTGCGAGCACGCCGTGCCTCTTATACGCGAAAATGAGGTTTTTCAGTGGAGGGGAGATTTTTAATCAGTTATTTCTTAATAACGACTGAACCGATCGACTTGTTTTTGGGCTCCTTCGGTTCGCGTTGAAAAAATACACAAAACAGTATTCTTGCGTTTTTTCGGTCTGTGGCTTGTGAACAAAGATAATTGAAGATAAACGAAAATGTGCGTGAAATTCACGATGTTTCCGATCTCTGAAATGCGTCCAGGAATGCGTCCGGGAATGTGTTCGAAGAATGCGTTCATCTGCTAGTGCTTCCACAAGATGGCGGTGAACGCGAACGATAGAAAAGGAGGAAAACTGTAATATGTGATGAGAGAGAGAGAGAGCGAGTAAGCGAGCGAGTGAGCGAGCGACGATCAAACGAGCGAGTGAGTGAGTGAGTTGCTAAGTCAGAGAGAGAGAGAGAGAGAGAGGGAGAGAGAGAAAGAGAAAGAGCGCAACGAGAGCAATTGCGAACATCATTTGATTGAAAAGAATCAAGAAATGACAACCGTAAGTACAAACAAAATATGTACGTACGCATAACCACATATCATATGTATTAGGCTA